AGGGTCAGTGCTGAGGGAGCGCCCCACTGTCAGAGGGTCAGTGCTGAGGGAGTGCCGCACTGTCACAGGGTCAGTGCTGAGGGAGCGCCGCACTGTCACAGGGTCAGTGCTGAGGGAGCGCCGCACTGTCGGCGGGTCAGCGCTGAGCGAGTGCCGCTCTGTCAGAGGGTCAGTACTGAGGGAGTGCCGCACTGTCACAGGGTCAGTGCTGAGGGAGCGCCGCACTGTCGGAGGGTCAGCACTGAGGGAGCGCCCCACTGTCGGAGGGTCAGTGCTGAGGGAGCACCGCACTGTCACAGGGTCAGTGCTGAGGGAGTGCCACACAGTCGGAGGGTCAGTGCTGAGGGAGCGTCGAACTGTCGGAGGGTCAGTGCTGAGGGAGCGCCCCACTGTCGGAGGGTCAGTGCTGAGGGAGTGCCGCACTGTCGGAGGGTCAGTGCTGAGGGAGCGCCGAACTGTCGGAGGGTCAGTGCTGAGGGAGCGCCGCACTGTCGGAGGGCCAGTACTGAGAGAGCGCCACACTGTCAGAGGGTCAGTGCTGAGGGAGTGCCGCACTGTCACAGGGTCAGTGCTGAGGGAGCGCCGCACTGTCACAGGGTCAGTGCTGAGGGAGCGCCGCACTGTCGGCGGGTCAGCGCTGAGCGAGTGCCGCTCTGTCGGAGGGTCAGTACTGAGGGAGTGCTACACTGTTACAGGTGATCTCTTTTGAATGAGACATTACCGAGACCCTAGACGGATAAAAAGATCGCACGGTACCTTTTAAATCGAAGAGCAAGGGATCCTGGTATCATTATGCAGATATTACACCCTAAAGCAAAATCAGAAAATTAAACATAGATCATCTGCTCCTTTACCAAGTGTGATCAGTCCTCCTTTTGGTATTTTCAAGTCAATAATTGGTTTAGATGCTTCCCTTTTATTGTTTGGGCTACATTTAGCTGCGGCAGGCCTCTTCTCTCTTATGACAGTTCATATCAAAGTGGGCTCCTGAATTAGGCCTTCGCCCCAGTTTTATATTTGGGAAGCAGGGCCTATTTAAGGCCCTTCCGAAACTGCAATTCAGCAGGTACTTTCCACATGAAAACCATCACACTGGATGTGCACAGCCTCCCATTAACTGCCCACCAAAGCTGAAACAACTCCGCAGAGGCTTCTAGCTCATTACCACGTCACCCCTTATTTACGTGTGGAGCGTCCTTGACACTGATCCAGCTCCCTCAGAGCCAGCTTTCAGAGTGAACAGAACCTCCTGTTTATATCTGTCCGCCGGGCTCCCTGATTGGAACCAGATTAACAGCCCCAATCCGGGAATTCAGCTTCTATGAGGTCCACCTGACTGACCTTATCAGATTCACTACATTCCACCCGCTATGAGTCCGAGGACATAGGCTGGTTCTTTGTTTTGTAGCTCCTCATAGGGCACCGGGTCAGCTTCCTCCAACTCCACCTCTGATACAGGTGGCATGTAACACACAGTAGCTTGCTTCTTGCGCCCGAAGCGTCTTGTTAGAAATTCATTCTCCTCTTCAGGTTGCAACATCCGCTATGTCCATCTCAGATTCTGAGGTAACTTCAACGTTTGACGGAGAGGGAGAACCCACAAGTTCTGGAACAGTTGGAAAGGCAGTCGAGAAGCCTGGATCATTTTACTCCCATACCGTCTGCAAGTTTGCAGCTTTCATATGGACTACATGCTTGTTCTGGGCTGTTGCACCTACCTGAAGTTCATATGTCACTGGTCCTGACCATGCAGGGCCATTCCCATGGTTCCTACACTAAATTTTGTCCCTTGAAATAAACTCTCACTCTTGCTTAGCAGAGTCTTGTGTCTGGCATTGGCATTCCTGATGCTGTTTCACCCACCCCTCCCAGGTCTGGGAAGATCAGATTTAACCTGGTGCAAAGTCTTCTCCCCATGAGCAACTCTGCTGGAGCTATCCCTGTAGTTGCAGGAGGGCTGGTCCTATAATCAAATAGGTACCAGGACAGTTTGGCAACTCATGAAGCTGTAGGCTGTTTCTTTAAGCCTGCCTTGAAAGTTTGGACTGCTCTTTCTGGCAGACCATTGGATGATGGATGATATGGTGCTGTCCTTATATGCTGAATGTCGTTTGACTTTAGAAAATACTCAAATTCCCTGCCCATTATCTGTGACCAAAACTTTCAGGAGTCCATGTCTTGCAAAAAATGCGTGCAGTATTTCTATTGTCGTCCCCGTGTTTGACGAATGAACTCTATGCGTGTCCAGCCACTTTGAGTGGGTGCCCACAATGACTAAGAACATACAGCCCATGAAAGGACCTGCATATTTGACATGTATCCGAGTCCAGGGTTTAGATCGCCATTCCCCAAATATGGAAAAGCTGCTGGCAGTAATTTATGTCTCTGTTGGTTCTCCACCAACACTGCTATGTCTGCATCTAATCCTGGCCGCCAGGCCATAACTTCTCACCAGCATCTTAATTTTGGAAACCCCTGGACGACTCTGGTGGTGTTCAGCCAGTATCTGGTGACGACCTTTGCTCGAGGCAATAACGATATTCCGTCCTGCCCATCATGATATTCCGTCCTGTTTACTGTTAGTTTAAAATCCCCACAATGGTGAACCAACACATCAGGCTTCGCAAAACTGCCCATTCTGCAAATTGGCCTGGTTTGATGATTCCTTTGCTCTCCAGCTTCCTAATTCCTGCCTCTACTTTTACCCATAAGGCAAATGGCACTGGGCAGGCCTTACAGAATCATGGGATTGCTTCCTGGTCAACATGTAAAGTGGCCTTGTCTCCTTTAATAGTCCCTGGACGTTCCTGAAAAACTTCTAGGTATTTAATTAGGACTTCACTCAGGCGGCCATTTTTTAATTGAAAAATGTTGAGCAAATCTAGGTAAATCTTTCTCAACCAGTTCTGTCCGATCAAGCTTGGGCCCGAATCATTTACTACAGCTGCTTCTCATGACAGACCAGAACTGAAGCTGTACCCTTCATCTGCAAAGGTTCCCCGGTATAGGTTCTCAGTCTGGCTGAGGTCTTGCGCAAACTTAAGGGTTGGAGTCCAGAGTGAATTTTGTTAAAGAGTGGTTCTACGATCACTGAAACAGCCACGTCAGCATTGACCTCCATCACAACCGGGTGACCGTTTAACCAGATGTTTATTTTGATTGGTTCTGATTTGCATGTTGCTAAGCAATTTAAGTGTTCCAACCCAGATGTAGGTGAATTTTCCAGGGTGTGCACTTCCCTGGATACCAGCCTATGAATTCTCTTACTCTATTTAGTCTTTCACTGTCTCGAGTTCACATACTGGCGGCAACTTTAATGGCTATAATGGCCAGATTCTGAAGAAAATGTTAACCATTTGGCGGAGACTTGGCTTTGTTTTGGGGTTTTGCTGTGGGCTGACCTAGAGTCCCTCTGTTTCGGATACGTCATGAGTGAGGCCACGAAATCGCCTTCACCCAAGTGGTGTTCCCCAAGCTCAGTTGGACTGACAAGGGTGTCCACTTCCATTGGAATACCCTGTAACTCATATGCTCCACTCGCCGCATTTCCCAGTGATAAAGCCAGTTGTAGTGCCTGTCTGAAGTCCAGTTGGGCTTCAGCTAGTAGGCGTTTTTGCATGTTGACATCATTGATCCCACATACCAACCGGTCTCTCAGCGTCTCATTTAGAGTTAAACCAAAGTCACATGCCTCTGCCAGTTGTCTTAACTGAGTCAAAAAATTCTGATACAAATAACCCTGGTTCTTGAATTGCCGAGTAAAACTGACAGCAGAATTAGAGGAGGCTTGGGGTTGTAATATACCTGAACTGAATCAGTCAACTTATGAAAGGTTTTAGTGTCTGGTTCCTCAGGGAAAGTTAGGCTCCTAACTACCAAAAAAAGATGCGGGTCCACAAGCAGTCAGGAGAATTATTTGTTGCTTTTCATTTGCCCCAATGTCATTAGCCCAGAAAAAAATAACGCATTCTTTTCACACACTGAGCCCAATCTTTGACAGCAGGATTGTATGAGTCAAGCTTCCCAATAACGGCATGATGCCAGAAATGCTTATCCCAAAACAAAGACTCGTGTTGCAAGCAAATTTCTTCAGCAGCGTGCTTTTCTCTCGTCACCACTGAAAGAATTCCACAGAGGCCAGTATCCCGTAAACAATTCACATGGAGAGTCCTTGACACTGATCCAGCTCCCTCAGAGCCAGCTCTTGGAGTGAACAGGATGTCTGACCCTCCTGTTTCTATCTGTCAGCCAAGGCTCCCTGTTAAGACAAAATAAACAGCCCCAATCAGGGAACTCAAATTCTATGAGGCCTACCTCATTACAATCACTACAAATGTGACCAGGCAGCAAACTTCTTCCCTACCCTGTATTCAAACAGTTGTCAGTGTGTTTGTGTGGAAGGGAACTCGCCTCTATTAGCTCACGTGGAGACTTAATGCGAAAATGCCTCAGCAGAATGCAGGCCATGTGTCAGCAAAACACTCTCAGCCAGCAAGAGCAACAAACAATGGATGGCAAAAGCCAGAGGCCAGCATCCAGCAGTTCAGCACAATGCGGCACACAATTAGGCACCCATTGCTGCCATTCTCTTAAGCCTGTTAAAAACAAAAAGGTCTAGCAAAGCAATAATGGAGTGTTTATTTGTCCTATTAATTACACAACTGCAAAAGCAACTGTTCAGAACATTGATGTGTTTTCAGACAGGATTGTGTTTTGAATGCAAAGGCACCATGCTGTGGGTCATTCGCCGCATATTGACAACACACTATGACCACTTTCGCTGTCAACCCTAACCTCACAGGTTGTCTCTCCCCCTCAGTTGCTGCTGTTTGAGTTGCTGTGCTATTCCTGGTCTGGCTGAGTGTCAACGTATTTCCACTACAGAGACGGAAACAGGAGCCCAGTGAACTAAAGTTCAGATTTTCACCCCTAATTAGTAACGGCGATGAGTTTCCTGTCCCCACAGTCTTCAAGGTCCCTACCTCTCTGCAGGGCCATGTTATGGAGAAGTGAGCGAGACCCTTGCAGGAAGGAACTGGGGTGGGTACCATACAGCTGGTTTGGGCACTGCACCGTCTGCTCTCTAAGGCCTTGATGCCCTATCTGTACAGTTCTGGTCTACTTGCCTGAGGAAGGATATACTTGCCACAGCAGGCGATGCAGTGCAGGTTCACCACATTAATCCCTGGAGTGGTGGGACTGTACGAGGAGAGATTGAGGAGGTATTCTCTGGAGTTTAGAAGAATGAAACTTAATTTCATTGCATCATAGAATCCCCTACAGTGTGGAAGCAGGCCTTTTGAGAGTCCGCACCAAACCTCTCAAGGGCATCCCATCCTATTCCTATAACCCTGCATCTCCCATGGCTAACCCATCCAGCATGGACAGCCCTGGGCACTATGGGACAGTTTAGCACAGCCAATCCACCCTAACCCACACATCCCTGGACACTATGGGCAATTTAGCATGGCCAATCCACCCTAACCCGCACATCCCTGGACACTATGGGCAATTTAGCATGGCCAATCCATCCTAACCTGCACATCCCTGGACACTATGGGCAATTTAGCATGGCCAATCCACCAAACCTGCACATCTTTGAACTGTGGGAGGAAACCCACACAGGCACGGGCAAAATATTCAAACTCCACACAGACAGTTGCCTGAGGCTGGAATCGAACCTGGGTCCCTGGCACCATGAGGTAGCAGTGCTAACCACTCAGCCACCACACCACACATTCAAACTTCCGACAGGTCTTGATAGGGTAGATACCCCCACTGGGCTTGTGGGGAGGGGTGATGGAGGATCATGATCCTAGGGGCAGCAGCCTCAGAATGAGTGGGAGGCCATTTCAGACTGAGACAAGGAGGAATTTCTTCACTCAGAGGGTGGGGAACCTGTGGAATTCTGAACCCTGGATGGCTGTGGATGCTCAGTACTAAGTATGTTCAAGGCTGAGACAATTAAAAATTGTGATAGTATTGGAAATGGTGTCGAGTTCCAGGATCAGCGGTGATCTAGGTGACGAGTAGACAGGCACAAGGGGCCGAGCGGCCTTCAGTTTATATGTCCCTAGGTTTCCATCAGTCCTGTATTGTTTAGCCTTCATGAAGTGGGTATATATGTCTCGTGACCTTGGTGTTATAGCTCTATCTGAGACACTGAAGAGCTATTCAGCTAACCCCTGATAGGATCTAGGAGCGAAGAAATTCAAGCTCACGGTTCCCTTGACTGCTCCTGTGTGCGATCTTCACTGACCAAGGCACACATATCCACCACAGTCAAAAACCTGATGGTCTGAAATACCTGCACTCCCCAGGTCCCCACCCTGCATGACCCTACAGCCCTCTACCAAATTCTGCTCACCAAGAATGCAGAGCCAATCTGAGCCAGAACTCTGCAAATAACTACAAAAGTCTCAACCTCAACCTCTGAGCTTGCCTCTGTCTCGTGTGGCAATACAAAGGCTTTATGAGGTGTATTTTGTCCTGGTTTGTTTAATGAAAAAAGGTTGCAAATGAGGTGTCGAGCAGTCTACTCACAGCCAATGAAGTAGACAGTTTGCAAGTCCTTGGGTTTTTTTCCTTAAAAGTTGGAATAAAAGAAGTATCCTGAATGAGTGGGGTCAAGCTCCCACAGAACCAGGATTTTCAATTTCAGCTTTCTGCTGTTGCTGGGGTCTTGAAGCTGGACGTGGAAGCTCCTATTCCTCTCAACTAGAATCATAGAATCCCTACAGTGTGGAAACAGGCCCTTTGGCCCAATAAGTCCACACCGAACCTTGGAGCATCCCACCCAGACCCATCACCCCATAACCCACCTAATCTACACCTCCGTGAACACTACGGACAATTTAGCATGGCCAATCCACCTAACCTGCACATCTTTGGACTGTGGGAGGAAACCGGAGCACCCGGAGGAAACCCAAACAGACACGGGGAGAATGTGCAAACTAATTCCTATACAACTAAAAGCTGGGGTTCTCTTCCTGCTGCTAGAATTGCATGTGAGACAATCTATTTTACTGAATTTGCCTTTGCCAAGGGTGTGTTTATGGTATGTTATTATATTGGAACAGGTACTGTTTAGTAGTTAAATAATCTATTACTCTGTCAAGTTTTCCAATCGAGTTAAGTTAGTCCAATTTCTCCTTTCTTTTGTCATCTTATAACTATAGTGTATAAATAAAGTGTGTTTTGCATGCATTTACGGTAAGGGGGGGGAGGTTTAAAGGAGTGTGATGGGCAGGTTTTTTACACAGAGAGTGGTAGGAGTCTGGAACTTGCTGCCGGGGTGGTAGTGGAGGCAGATATGATAGGGACGTTTAAGGGACTTATAGATTAGCAAGGAATGGAGGCATATGCACCAAGGGCAGGCAGAAGGAATTAGTTTAATTTGGCATCATGTTCGGCACAACACCATGGGCTGAAGGGCCTGTTCCTATGTTGTACTGTTCTGTGTTCTCTATGTTCTATGCTTCAATTGAATTGCATCCAGAACGCAATGCCAGGCACTTAAGTAGAAGTTAGGGTCTAGGCTATCTTCTTAACATATCTTGAGGGGGTTTGGTCTGGTCCATAACACTGGCTAGTGACTTGCTCCTTCTGTTATGCTTCATGACCGGGACGGGGAACTCATTGTGAACAGATATTGTGGGGACTGGTCTGACTGGACTGCTCTCCCTGCCACGAGCTGATTTCACTGACACATCAATATGCTGAAGGGTGCTACATCTGGGCAGATAACCATTCCTGCTCAAAGGGCTACATGCAATGTCAAACCATGTCCATCTTGATTCTCCTTACTGGAGAACTGTCGGTGTTAAAAGGTCAAACACAAGTGAAGTCAGACTCACAAATTGCAAAGGAAATGCCAGAGAGAGTCCTCGTGGTTTAATTCAAAGGGTGGAGGCCATTCAGCTAACCAAGCCTGTTCTAATTCATTGCCTGAACAATCCAGGGCTGATTACATCACCCCGATGTTCACCTTCTGACTCTGTTCACTCTCTATTTGCCCTGTTCCTCACTGACTGTAGCTCATCCCGAACCCACTCATTGGGCTGTTAGCTTTCATTTCACAAAGTGTGTCACACTTAACAGCACTAGCTTAAAGACAGTGGCAAGATTTAATATGCTGTGTTTGTTCGTCAGATCTGCTTACTATTTCTTTGGATCTAATCAGCTCAATAGAGAAGAAGCTTGCTTATGATGACCTCAAATTACTTCTTAGCAAAACGATAACTTATTGTACTAACAATCAACCTTCACTTCACTGTTCTGAACACGTTAAATAAGTTGAATGCTCAAACAACCAACACCATCTTGAGTGTTATGACTGGGGGAGGAGAGTTGGTCAGGGAAACTCCACATAGGATGGAGATATCTTTAACATTCACTACTGTGAGACCTCAGTTTAATGGCTACCCTAAGATACAGCTTCTCCAGTACAGTAGCACTCTAACAATCAGAACTGCAATTTTCACAACGCATCATCCCCACAGTACTGACCCTCCAACAGTGTGGCATTCCCTCAGTAATAGCCCCTCGACAGTGCATCACCTCCACAGCACTGACCCTCCAACAGTGTGGCAGTCCCTCAGTAATAGCCCCTCGACAGTGCAGCACTCCCTCAGCACTGAACCTCCGACAGTGTGGCACTCCCTCAGCACTGACCCTCTGACAGTGTGGCACTCCCTCAGCACTGACCCTCTGACAGTGCAGCATTCCCTCAGCACTGACCCTCCGACAGTGCCCACTCCCTCACCACTGACCCTCCGACAGTGCCCGCTCCCTCAGCACTGACCCTCCGACAGTGCGGCGCTCCCTCAGCACTGACTCTCCGACAGTGCCGCATTCCCTCAGTACTGACCCTCCGACAGTGCGACGCTGCCTCAGCACTGACCCTCCAACAGTGCCCATTCCCTCAGCACTGACCCTCCGACAGTGCGGCGCTCCCTCAGCACTGACTCTCCAACAGTGCAGCTCTCTGTGACTGCTGCATGGTAGTGGTAGGAAATGATCTGTTGATTTTTGGCGAATCAACTGAGGTTAAAAACAGAGGAATTGAAACCTTGTTGTTTTTCACAGAGAAGAATTATTCAGCCTGTGCAGCATGCCAGAGAAGAAGCAATACTCTCAGAATGCACTGACGTTCATCATTTAACTGGTACAGTATTTGTTAGTAACCTTTCACACTGCTAATGCTGTTTCTTAATTTTGCGTGCACAGAGTCAGCAGCATGCACTCACCTCTTGTTCTGTCTTAGTTCCATTGTATGTAAAATGGTGACCCCAGAGGACAGGAGAAATGGACAGAGTCCTTGAGCTAGAGTTAGGACGCTGACTCACTAAGAACTAGATTTGCAAAATCATTAAAAAATTGTAAACTGAGCCTTCAGCTTTATTTCTGGAGAGACAGAATTGAAAAGTACAGGGTGTTATACTAAAGCTGAATCGCACGGTGGTTCAGTGGTTAGCACTGCTGCTTCACAGCGCCAGGTACCTGGGTTTGATTCCACCCGCGAGTGACTGCCTAAAAGGAGTTTACACATTGTCCCCGTGTCTGTGCAGGGTTCGCTCCGGTTTCCCCCCACAGGCCAAAGATGTTCAGGTTAGGTGGAGTGGCAATGCTAAAATTGCCCATAGTTTCCAGGGATGTGTACATTAGGTGGATTAGCCATGGGGAATGCAGGGTTACAGGGAGGGGATGGGATGGGTCTAGGTGGGATACTCTTCGGGTGGACTCAATGGGCCAAATGGCTTGCTTCCACACTGTGGGATTCTATGATTCAACCTTGGTCATCGCACACTTTGAGCTGTTTGGGGTCACCATATTGTAAAATGGATAGGAAGTCAGTGCAGAGATAATTGATAAGGAGAATACTAGAAATGCGACTATACACATCCAGAAAGGATTGACAGGCTGGGCCTTTTCCATAGCTATATGGGACAGTCCCCAAGAAATCCAAACAGGAATTGAGAAGGAGCCTTTTCACCCCAAAGAGCCATGAGAATATGGAATCCCCTCCCACAGGGAGTTTCTGAAGTGAACCTTATCAATGTCTTCGAAGGGGGCGATAAACAGGTCCTTGAGGGAGCAGGCGATTGAGGGTTAAGATGATGGATTTATGGGAGGGAACAACATGGAGTGAGTGGGCTGAATGGCCTGTTTCTGTGCATCCGCTATCTGAAAGGCATATGCTGTCACATCCTCATGAGGCCAGAGGAGCAAGGTCCTGTACAGACACACGTTGGCAGGTTCAGCAAGTTTGTATACATCAACGTACCAGACACTATTTGGATCCCTGCTTTGTGCATTCCTCAGGAAGGATATGGAAGGGGTGCAGCATCGATTTACCAGGATGATACTGGGGATTTAAAGGCTTACATTACCAGCAAAGGTTGCAATGACCCAAATAATAAATAAGATTTGGTTCGTGCGCATGGAGACAAACTGACTTCAAAATAGCCTTTGGAAGAAATATCGAAGGTTTCTCTTTTCATTTTTCAATCTGTTCCTGCAGACTCATCAGCTGATCAGTGAGTGCAACTGCGACTGTGAACATGCAGAAGGTAGGATTAATCTCAGAGATTGCACTGTGTTACTGTGTGAAATCTCAGGCACTGATGTTCCAACAACTGCTGGGTGTGTTTTCGCTCAGTCGTTGTGAGCTGTTGAGAGATGAGAAAGCCTGGATACCCAAGCATAAAAAGACTGTGAGGTTCAAAGGAAACCTTCCCATCACTTCCACATGACATGGTCTTGATAACCGCCAATAAACATACTCCTGGAGACCTCCCAGTAAACACTGACATACTCCTGGAGACCTCCCAGTAAATACTGACTCACTGCCGGAGACGCACCCTGTAAACACTGACACGCTCCTCATTAAATTCTGACACACGCCAACAAACCCTGTGTAAATGCTGACACATTCCCTGGAGACCCTCACTAAATATCGACACATTCCTTGGTGCTGTCATTTCCAGGGATACACTGTGAATGATGACTCACTCCCGGGGACCTCTTTAAATACCTGAGATCCCTGTAAATACTAACAAACTCCCAAGGGACTCCCTGTTAGTCTAGATCCACAACCAGAGGCCTCTTGTAAATATGGACACACTACGCAAATGTAAATCCTGACACAGTGCTGGGACTTCTGTTAAATACTGATCCACTCCCAGGAGAATCGAGGAGATAAACACACAATCCCCGGGAACCTCTGAAACTATTAACGATCTAAGGCTCCCAGCATTTCACAAATCAAACATCACTGAATACTGAATGATGGTCGGTGTTGGTAATCCAATCAAAAGTTGGTTACATTTATCAGCAAATCTTCTGCTTGGCTACTTGCCTGTGACTGGCCATTTGTCCCTCTCTCTGTGTGGGGCAGTTTGAAAACACAAACAATTCCATCGCTCACTCGAGCTTCCAGGGGGTGGGACGAAAGCAAAGAATCAATGTTTGTGCTGCCTCTTCCTTGTCCCCTCTCTGACCTTGAAATGTCTAAGCACACGGTGGGAAGCATCAAATCACTGGAAATCTGAGATTGCAACAATCCTTATTCCATAGCCTCTTATGTTGCTGATACAGGTTTGGTGCTGTACTGAAACACTGGATACAGCAAATACGGAGGGAGCCTGTGGTTTTCTCAACCATTTAAAAACATCCAGGATACATGTGTCACTGGAAAGGTCAGCAATAGTTGCCAATACCTAATTCCCCTTGAGATCAGAGGGTGAGCCACCTTCTGGATGATTGAGTGGTCGGCTAGTCCATTTCGAGGGCAGTTTCAGGTCAACCATATTCCCAGTGGATCGGGAGTCACATGTCGACCAGATCCGCTAAGGATGACAGATTTCTTTCCTTCAAGACCTGAGTGAAGCCAATCGATTTTTGCAACAAGGCCGACTTGCCAAGTCACCATCATTGAGACTGAATTTCTATTTCGGATTTATTTAAATCACTGAACTTAAATTCCAGTGGTGAGCTTTGACCTCCTGCTTCCAGGTCTCCCGATTATTTGTCGTGCGAGATAACACATTTGCTATAATGTCAGTGTTTTCCTTCTCAAACAGTAGTTAGACAATACACCAAAGTGAAGACTGTTTGACAGACTTTCGCTCAATAGCTGCACCTCACTTACATTTGTCCAACTAACATTCTTCCTGATTTTTTTTTTAAAGTCACAGCCATCCCAAACATCACCGGGAAGTGTCAGCTCCACCCGTCCATTGAGTGCTCCTGGATCTCCAGGTTCAACAATATGCGTGAGTACCAAGTTTTCCAATCGATCAGGCCGTTTAGCAAGCTACGGTTTCCACCTTGCTGTGTACAGATGCTGGGTTAGTACTTTGATGTGTACGTGTAAGATAATAAGATACGAGAATAGAAGTAGGCCGTTCAGCCCATCGACTCTGCTCCGCTATTCAATGAGATCATGACTGCTCTGATCATCCTCAACTCAACTTTCCTGCCTTTTCCCCAGAACCCTTGATTCCACTGACTGTTAAAAATGCTTCTCTCAGCCTTCAGTGATCTGTGCACATATACCCCAGCTCCCTCTGCTCCTGCACCCTGTCTAGAATTGCACCCCTGATTTTATATTATCTTTTAACATTCTTTTGACCAAAGTACATCACCTCAGACTCCTTCGCATCGAATCTCATCTGCTACCTATCTGCCCATTCCATCAACTTGTTAATGTTCTTTTAGAGTTCCACACAGTCCTCCTCACAGTTTACAATTCTTCAAAGTTCAGTGTCATCTGCAAACTTGGAAATTGTCGCCTTGCACACCCAGATGCAGCACGTTAACGTACATCAGGAAAAGCAAGGGTCCCAATACCGGCCCCTGGGGAGCTCCACTACAAACCTTCCCCCAGCCTGAAAAAGTAACTATTAACCATTACTCTCTGTTTCCTATCCCTCAGACAATTCTGTCCGCATGTTGCCACTGTCCTTCTTAAACCATGACCTACAACTTTGCTCACACTTTGCCTGTTATATGGCACTGTGTCAAATTTCGTCTGTCAATAGCATTGACAGGGTTCCATTACCTCTTGAATAAACACCAGCAAGTTTGATAAATATGATTTCTCCTTTAGAGATTCACGCAAGTTCTTCATCATCAACCCACCTTTCTCCATGTGATGACTGATTCTGTCCTAAATAACTGTTTCTGGAAGGTTTTTTTCCATTCCTGAAGTTAAACCAACTGCTCTGTCATCATACCAGGCAACATCAGAGGAGCAGGAAAGTTGACGTTTCGGGTCTTCAGAAGGGTCCCGACCTGAAACATCAACTTTCCTGCTCCTCTGATGCTGCCTGGCCTGCTGTGTTCCTCCAGCTCCACACTGCATTATCTCTGACTCCAGCATCGGCAGTTCTTACTACCTCTGTTCTGTCATCATTATCCTTACAATCATTTCTGAACAAAGGCATCACGTTGGCTATTCTCCCCGGTGGCAGACAAATCATTCCTATTGACAGATGGAGTTTTACAATTACTTAGAACAGTACTGATGCATTTTAGTTTGCAGAGGGACTGTCCTGAGGGCCAGTGGTCTAGAGAGTGTTGCTGTAGACTGCAGCACAGACTACGACCACTCGCTGAAAGCAACATTGAGAATTTCAAGTTTCTGTGGGGGAAAGCACAGCAGCTAAGTATTGTATTGCCCCCTTCTCTTCCTTCCCCTCTCTCCCCCAGTGTTTATTTCATGCTGCCGACTGTATGAGGGTGAGGATTCAGGAGATATCCCTGTCAGGAAACGCTGGCACAAATTGTAGGTTAAATACGTTACGGACCAGACCAAACCCCCTCAAAATATATTAAGAAGGTAGCCTAGACTCTAATTTTTTCTTATTTTAAAGGTAAATGTAAGGTGTTGTGTTCCAGTTTTGATTGGTCAAACTACTCGATGTTAAGCAAAACATAATTTATTCATACATTCCAGATAAAATACAACAAAAGAAAGAATAAAGAAAAAAGATTGGCTTAGCTGTAACTCTATTGAAAAACTTAACAGAACAATAGATTCCGTGACTATTATTAATTAACTGTTCTAATCCCATAAACACACTCTTGGCAAAAGGTAAATTCAGAAAGCAGATTGATTCACATGCAACTGCTGCAGCAGAAAGAGAACGCCCAAGCTTTTAACTGTAACCGAGACAAGGAAAAAAAAAAGCTTCCACTTCCTCAAGACCTCAGCAGCAACCGCTACTAAAAAACTAAAAATCCTGGTTCTGTGAGAGCTTGACTACACCCATTCAGGTTGCTTCTAATGTTCCAACTTAAAAAAAAACCAAGGCCTCACAATTTTATTGGCTTTTCAAATAGACAGCTCACCACCCCTGTCTTAAAACATTACTTTAAAATAAAGAACAAAATAACATCTTAAAGCTACAGCATTGTCACAAATAGGAAGGAAAAGGTATGAAGTGCTATCGACACACAGAATCACTTCAGTCCCAGCTCCTTCTCGGGGCTTGTTGTCACTTTGAATAAAGTGCACAAGTAAAGGGAGCTGCTCTAATTCTCTCCTCTGCCCTACAGGCGAAGATGGATAACCAGGTGTTGGCCTATAAAGACCTGGCTGCGATCCCAAAAGATAAGGCAATATTGGAGATTGAGCGGCCAGACCTAATGATCTACGAACCGCATTACAGCTACTTCTGTGCAGAGAGACCAGAGCCAGTGGGGTCTGCTGAGGTACACTGCTTTGTTGGCGAGAAGTGACAAGTTTTCTTAAGAGCTCTGAGCATTGAACGTGGCTGTACTTGAGTCAAGTGGCCATTCTTTCTGTCAGCCTTGAATGTCAATGTCAACAGCAGTTTGCAATAGCTGATCCTGGCCCTGCCCTTCCCCTACATCTGCACATTGTTGAGATATCACCATCATGTAGAAGGTCATAGGATCCTACTGTCATGGTGACATCACAGCACAGAAGGAGGCCATTCAGCCCACTGAATAATCTAGCTCAGTCAGTTTCAGTCACTCGAGAATCCTGCTCCAAGTGGATTACCTAGCTGATTGACTATTGCCAACCGGTAATGTTCAGTGCTGGCTGAGGATGATCCCAGTTTAAGTCCCAATTGGCGAACAAGTCCAGCATTGCCCTGAGCTAGAGAAAGAACTGATAACGCCAGTGTGCATCCAGTGACGCAGTTGAAACTGTGTGTATTGCTATCAGCCCTAAACATCTGGGCAAGAAGGCAGCTCCTGTGTTGACAGGGCCCCTGGGACTGCCACAGTGTGAGTCTGTGCTTCAGAACAGGCACTGCAACTGCAGACGGCAGTGTGTTTGTTTCTGAGGATGACTTTTGAGCAACTTCTACAATGACAGAGACACTGTAGTTGCCATTGTTGGCCATTGTGAAAACACCCAATGCATTCTTCCCATTGACTGATTTATTGTAGCGACATAATTAACCTGCTAAAATAATGCTGAGATCTTTCACACACATGGCTGGTCTTTTGCAGAGATATTGTGAATGTATTCAGATCGAGCATGCAGCCAGTCATGTACTTGCCTGTTGTAGAACAGCTTGAGACCAGTGATAAATCTCTGGTGCAGCAAATCTGTCTGGGACCATTTCTCATATTTTGTAAATGATAGTCCAAAGTAGTTGACCCTTTGTGGACATTAGGTGTTGGCTCAACTCCTAGCACAGTAACGAGCAGAAAATTTAGAGTCATGGTTTTGTGGAAGCTGTCCTTAAATGTGTTTCCATTCATTTGAAACAAGACTTCGGGTTACTCATTGTAATTAATGTCCTTTCTTCCTACAGCGCTCACAGTCACCACGCCCGATGTCTCCTCTCACCTATCCTGAGGTAAGGTAGAGTGATCGATCCTCATTATATGAACTGGCCTGTCATAGAGCATCCTTATCTGCTGAAGCTACTTCAGGAATATCCTGGATTCCAAATAGCTCTGGCAACTCTGCAGCCACCTTTCCCAGAATTCCCTGCTTGACTCCTCACAATCAGGTTTCCAACAAGGCCACGGTCCTGAAAGAGTTTTCAGCAAAGTCTCAAGTGACGAAGGTGACTGTGGTGAAACAATCCTCTCTTCATCACAGAATCCCTACAGTGTGGAAGCAGGCCATTCACCCCTCGGGTCCACACCGACCTTCTGAAGATCATCCCACCCAGAACCACCCCCTATCCAATCCCTATAACCCTGCATTTCCCATGGCTAACCCACCTAGTCCGTACATCCCTGGACACTACGGGGCAATTTAACATGGCCAATCCACCCTAACCTGCACATCTTTGGACTATGGTAGGAAACCTGAGTACCGGAGGAAACCCACACAGACACAGGGAAAATGTGCCAACTCTCTAGTTTTCTTGACTTGTCTGCAGTTTTTGACACCGTCTGTGGGTTTCCATGACCGTCCAGCTGGCTAGCACTGCTCTCCCTTGGTTCCATTCCTATCTACCCATCTTGCAGCCTATGCCCCAATGCAGTGAGTTGTCTTTCTGCCCCTGCACCCTTTTCCCCTAAGTATGGATTCTGATACTCCTCCTCATCCTCGTTCAGCCGCAGTTCCCCATGCCACCCTCTGTGGCCCCACCACATCATTCTGAAACACAGTTCTCACTGACACCCAGCTCTATCTTTTTCACTGCCATCTCCCTCAAACACTCAGCCAGTGTCTTCTGGGAGCAGGTCAGTTCCCCCATCCCCCTCAAGGCTAGTCCCTGTGTCCAACATTGGACTCCACGCTGGTTGGTAAATCCTCAGTTTGGCTCTGCCAAGCTGCCACACTGGAATCTTCCTTGATTTCCTCTTGCCCAGTCCAGTTGTCAACCAGATCCATGAGTCCAGTGATGGAGAATTTCTTTCCGGCTGTTCTCCTGGCTTGGTTCACCCCACTGCTGGGCTGCCAGGCAGGCAGCAGTATCAGGTGAGGGCAGTGCACACTAACTGTGAAACTCCATCTCCTTTCAGTACATGGTGCATAAGGAGAGCCGGGAATGGGCAGATGGGAAGTCTCCGGGATCCACGATGGGATCAGCCAGCAGTCGCCGCAGCTACCCATCCACTGGCAGCCTCCCACACCATTTCCACAGGCCAGGTAAGGACACAGCATGTTCTCTGACTAGTGCCTGATTCCTCATACTCTGCTCACACTCTCAGCATTTGCCCTGCATTAGGCACCAGGTTTATAGATCACATCCCAGTTATTAACAAGACTTAAAGGATTTTATTTGCAAACAGATCAATTACAACTAACTGAATATCATAAAGAACAAGTGTGTGACTTTAAACTACATCTCCTTTTCTCTCTGCCTCTCTCTATCTGTGAAACTCCCTTGGTCTCTGGTCTCTTCTGTATGTCTGTGTGCGTGTCTGTCTCTGTCTCTCTGTGTCTCTTGTTCGGAAGGGGACAAAGTTGAACCCCTCTGATAGTTAAACCAAAACACAAGCCCCAATATGCCATGATAGGATCAGAGGTTCACTTCTAATAATTACCCCTGAAACATCCAGAAAACCTTGCCCTTCCCCTCGTAATCTATTAAAAGTGTGGTTAAAAGAAAGAAAATCCCATCTCCATTTTACAAGTAACAAGAAACAATTTATTTATTTAACCCAACAATGAACAAGTTAACAAAACTACGAACAAACCAACAATTCCCCCCTTAGACTGCTAACTACTCCCTAACTGGTCTAAATTCTACTGGAATACTGTTTAAATAAAACCAAGTCCCACTTAATAAACCCAATTATAAGAGAACAACGAATTATAACTTAATCTCTCTAACATTGCACAGACTGTCTTCTGGAATATTCTGTCATCTCCACTCTCTTCACAAATGCTAATTCCGTTAATTCTGCTGTCAGGGATTTTTTAATTCTATAATTTCTTCAATGAGGACTTTGAGCTGAAAAAAAACACCATGGTCTTTTGATGACTTAGATGGGCTTTCTCTGAGAGCTGAATGTTGCTAACTTTGGCAGGTGGCGGATGGCTTTCTCCAATTTTCTAAATGCCCTTGGCTTATATACCCGTAACGACATAATCAAATTCTTATAATATGATTGGTTTCTTGTCAACACCATCAGATTTAAATTCAGTTGGTTTTCTATTTCCAGGTGCTTCATTTAAATTAATTGGCCAAATTCAAACTTGTTGTCTTAGAAAAAATGCTGCTTAGCTGTTCTACGCGAAATGTTTCCATTCGGGCACTGTCTGTGTGCACCTGCATTTATAAACTACCAAGCACAGGCAAAGCACAAGCACTTAAAGGGACCACAGCACTCTTTCCCCCATGATCAGTTTTACCGACAAATTCTAACTTCCTGCCTTCCAATTCATGAATTCTCTACCCAACTTCGTACCACTCTGTTTCTCTCTCTCTGAGTCTTTGTTTCTCTGTCTGGGTGTGTGTGTGTGTCTGTCTCTGTCTCTCTCTGTCCCTCTTCCTCTGTGTCTCTGTCTCTCTGCACTCTCTGTCTCTTCTTTCCTTTGTCTTTCTCTCTTTTTGTCTGTATCTTTCTCTGTTTCTCACTGACTATACCTTCCTCTCTACCTCTCTGTCTTTCTCTCTCTCTGCCTATTTCTGGCTCTTCCTTTATCTTCCATCTCTTTTTGTCTGATCTGTTTTGTTTGGGTGAACCCGACGATCTCTAATCCTCATTGACATGCCCTCTTACTCGCCTTATGCTAAAGAACAAGGTCATGCATTGAAAATTCAAGCTTGGAATCTAACGCAGGCAGCAGCACTTTGGGAAGGTCAAGGAGGGATTGTGCGGGAAAAGACATCAGGACCCTCAAATCTTAGAGATTTCTAGCTCACTCCCTTCAATAGCACAACGCAGAGTACAAGATCATGGTAATGAAAGCCTTGTATTTTTACAGTACCTCTCATAATATGAGATCCTTGAAGTGTTACTGTAGGGGAATCAGCAGTCAATTTACAGGCACAAGTTCATCCAAACACCAATGGGATAATGGCTATATAATCTGTTTCCACAATGAGGGAGAAATATTGTCCAGGACACTGCTGTGCTTCTTTGAGCCGTGTAATGGGAGCTTGTATGTTACCTGAGAAAGCAGAAAGAGCCTTGTTTCATTGACTCATCTGAAAGATGATACCTCCAACTGTACAGGGCTCCCTCAGAAATGGTGCCCCGTGCAGCCACTTTTCATTGTTTGGAAGTCACTCAGGAAGCAAGTGCAAATATGCTTAAGAATTTTCCCTGGGGCTTTTCTCAAGGACAACTGTAACTTCAGACGATAACGAATGATAATAATCGTTGATGGACTATGGAGACGGGTACTCTTTGAAGTTTCAACATTATTGTTTCGTTTAATTTCTAGATATTGGCACCAATATGTACAGGAAGCGTCCCATCTACAAGCAGAATGGTACAGTCTGTTTCATTTCTTCCTATTTCAGAGTAAATCTCTTGTTTCTTCCTTGCGTTGTGGCCATGTGGCAAACCTCCATCTAAGGAGACCCCAATCATCCTACCTACACTTTGTGACTTTCTTTCACTGGTATACTGGGGACAATCCTTTTTCTGGAACATCACTGGGGGAAAACTTCAAACCTCCCTCTCCAAATCTGGGACTCTCCTGCCTCAAGCTCTTTGCGTCACTGCCTCTCTCCCCACCTTCAAGTTTCACCCAAATGATTTTAAAATCATTTGTACATCACATTTGAAGTCCAACTGCTTTGTCCTCTTCCATCTTTGCAGGGGTCTTCCTTCCAACAATAACTTGATATAACAGTAACCCTATATAAATGCCAGTTATGATTCCCCTTCATATTACAAGAGCACAGTCAGTCACTGCCTTAAGCAAAGCTGAGAAATTAGAATGTAATGTGATTGGGTCAGTTTTCTGACAGTACAGAGGTAGGTGAGAAAGTAAGCTGTGAAAAGGGTACAAATAATCTGCAGAGTGATAGATATAGATAGGTTCATTGAATTGAATTGAATTAGCTTTATTGTCACATGTACTCAAATGAGTACGGTGAAAAGTTTACAAGTCGCCAACTTACGGTGCCCTCTTAGGTACAACGTACCTAGGTACAGGTTCTTCAGTACAAGTTCTGAGGGAAAAAATGGATAAAGAGGTGGCATATAATGAGGGTAAATGTGAAGTTACCCACTTAGAAAAATAAAAAAAAACACTGATTTGAAATGGTGAAACTGTTCAGCGTTGCTGTTCAAAGGAATTTGGACTTTTTTTACAAGTAACACAGAAAGTTAACCTACAGGAACAGCAAGCAATGGGGCAGGCAACCCGGAATTACAATTTATCACGAGGGGTTTTAGAGAACAAATCTTGCCACAAACTGGTGAGATTACATCTGGAGTATCAAGTATAGTTTGGTTTCCACGTCAGAGGAAGAATATTCTCAATGTGGATGCGTGCAAAGGAAGTTCATGAAACTGATACCTGAATGGAATCCCTGCAGTGTGAAACAGGCCATTCAGTCCATCCAGTCCACACCGACTCTCTGAACAGCATCCCACCCAGACACACCACCCTAACCTATCCCTGTAACCCTGCATTTCCCATGGCTAATCCACCTAGCCTGCATATCAGTGGACACTATGGGCAATCCACCTAACCTGTACATCTTTGGAAACCATAGCACCCAGAGGAAACCCACACAGACACAGGGAGAACATGCAAACTCCACATACACAGTCGCCCAAGTGTGGAATCGAACCCAGGGCCCTCACGTTGTGAGGCAGTAGTACTAACCACTGTGATATTGTGCCGCCTTGGATATTCCATCAGGACTGCGCGCGTTGAATGAGTAGTATGTTCTCTGTTGAGATGAGAAGAATGAGATCATGTCTCATTCAAACATGTAAGATTCTGAGAGGGCTTGACAGGCCAGATTCTGAGTGAACATTTTCTGTGGCTGGGGAGTTCAGAACTAGAGGGAACAGTGTTGGCTAATTCTGGCTGCAGAGTAAAATATGTCTTCACTCAGAAGATTTTAAATTAGAGGTCCCTAACCCAGGGAGTCATGAATGCTCAATCATTGAGCATATTCAAGGTAAATTGGTTGACTTAGATCCTGCCAATTAGAGTCATGACATATTATTCCTTCATCTTTAGGCACTCACCCTAGTCAATAATTTGCCTTTACTTCCATGAGTTCCAACCTCAGCTGACAGTTTCTTATCAAAGCCCTTTCAAAGTCCGTATTGAAAACATTCACAGACAATTCTCCAACCATTTTAATCACCTCTTAAAAAAATGTGTAGTCAGAGTCCTCAGGCATGACCTACCCTTTCCGAATTCACATAGGCTCTCTCTGATTCAGCGAAAAAGTTTCAGGGTGTTCACTTTGCCCCTTAATTATATACCGGAATACATTCACAACAATGCGAGGCTAAATGGAAATTCCCTGATTTCCTCCTCTGACCAATCTCAAATAGAGGAATGACATGTACAGTTTTCCAAACAAAAAGAATAGTGGAACGTTTCTGAATCGAGAGATTAGGAAGAATATCATTTGGGCACGTGTCATAATCTCACCTGCGTCCTTTAAAATCCTGGGATGGAAACCATCTCATCCAGGGAACTTGTCACTTTTTATACTGACATTAATTTCTTTGTTACTGTTAATTTCCTTGCACTAATGATGGTGGTTCCCTATCTCCAATTCAATATTAGTTTGCCTAGGCAATCCAGCACACTATTTTCCTTTACTGTATATACTGAAACAGTCATTATTCGTCATGCTGACCACTATCTTTTTTCTCATTTAATTGTAAAATATTTTCAAATTGAGTTTGATAGCGCTTTCCAAGCATCCCTTCTCGAGTTCTTCGTGTCTGTCCTGTCACCTTTTGTTCCTGCAGTGGTGTATCTGAAAGTACATTCTCACCACCTCATCTTCATGAAGCCTTTAGCTCCTCACTGCAATTAGCTCGTTGCTTCAGCTCAGAAGCTCACAGTCTCCATCTTACCATCTTGTTCCAGAGCCATCAATTGTGCTTCCACAGAGTAAATACATTGAGGATCTCATCATTGAATCATCAAAGTTTCCGGCTGCTCAGCCTCCAGATCCCAATCTTCCGGCAAAGATCGAGACAGAATACTGGCCTTGTCCTCCCTCACTTGCTGTCGTAGGTAAGACCCAGTCAACATAAAGACATAATCTTTCTGCGTTTTTATCATTGATGTGACTTCAATGCTGTGGCTGGAAAGGGACTGGACATCAAATATGTTCACAAATCTCTGTCATACCTTGGTCCACTTCCCCTCACTCCTAACATTTCCTCAATCATGCAACTGCAGAGGGTGTCACACTTACCCATTTGCTCCCTTCCTCCTCCCTGTCCAAGATGACACAGTATTTCACATGTCCTTCTTTCAATCTAGTCTATAGCATTTGCTGCTCACAATACAGTCTCCTTTACATTGGCAACACTGCAATAGACCAGACCAGAACCTCTTAAAATATTTTAAGAAGGTACCTAGGCCCTAATTTTTTCTTATTTTAAAGGTAAATTTAATGTGCTGTGTTCCAGGTTAGATTAGTCACTTAACATTAAGCAAAACACAATTTATTTAAACACTACGGTTAAAATACAACAAGTGAAGAAGAACTTAGAATAACTGAACTCTATTGGAAAACTTAACAGAATAATAGATACAGTAACTATTACTAATTAACTGTTCTAATACAGTAATATGCCATAAACACACCCCGTGGCAAAAAAGCACACTCAGAAAAATAGAGATAGCAAGAACTGCCGATGCTGGAGTCAGAGATAACACAGTGTGGAGCTGGAGAAACACAGCAGGCCAGGCAGCATCAGAGGAACAGGAAAGCTGACCCTTCTTCAGGTCCCGACCCAAAACGTTAGCTTTCCTGTTCCTCTGACGCTGCCTGGCCTGCTGTCTTCCTCTAGCTCCATACTGTGTTATCTCAGAAAAATAGATTTGTCTCACAGGTAACCCAGCAGCAGAGAGAAACCCCAGCTTCTAGCTGTAACCAAGGGAAAAGATAGCTTTGATTTGTTCAAAATTCCTGCAGCTTCTGCCCTGTTGAGACTCCAATAGCATTGCTTAAACTTAAAAAAACCTAGAAATCCTGGTCTGTGAGAGCTGGCCACATCCAGCCAGGCTGCTTCTATTGTACTAACTTTTTTAAAAAAAACCAAAGGCCTCACAAGCTGTTTACATTACCACAGACAGCTTAGTGCCTCTCATTCAATCTCTCTCTTAAAAGAAACCAGGAGAAAATACACCTCTTAAAGCCACAGCACTGTCACAACACCAAGCACAGACTGGGTGACCACTTTTCGGAACACCTCTGCTCTGTCTGTAGCAATGACCCTAACCTCCTAGTGGCTTGCCATTTCAACAAACCATCTTGGTGTCATGCTAATATTCTGTCCTGGGTGTGCTGCAAGGTTTGAACAAAGTATACTGTAAGCTGTGGGTACAAAACCTCATTTTCTGCTCAGGCACTTCACGGCCTGGTGGTATCTGTATTAAATTCCATAATGTTGGAAAGTGGCTGCATTACATCTTTTTTCCATATTTCTTATATTCGCCCCAACCCCACAACTCCACAGTTTTGTTTGTGTCTTGTTTACTTCAACAAGAAAGGACCCATTCTCTCCCTTTCACACCCGTTTTTATATCTCTTTTTCTCTTTCTCCACCGTTAACCTTTGCCTATTGCAGTGGATCTGTGTCTCTGTCAAAAGTATTAGAAAGCTCAATTTTCCAACACCTTCCGGTTCTGGAGAAGACTCATACTGGTCAAAAACGTTCACTTGGTTTATCTCTCCAGAGATGCTGCCAGACCTGCTGAGTTTCTCCAGCAATTCCTGGTGTTTATCCCAGGGGTCCCTGCTCCTGTTAGGAAGGGTTCTCACATTTCCATGGATACCAGCGTCAATAGGTTACACATAAATATACAAAACAGGAGCAGGAGTAGGCCATTTGGGCCCTTGGGCCTACTCTGCCATTCAATAAGATCCGATTGTGTTCCATATTCCACATTCTCATCCAGGCCCGAAGCCTTGGATTCTCTTGCCTGGCAAAAAGCTATCTTCCTCTACCTTAAAAAGTTTCAATGACTCTTGTTCAGCACCTTCACAGACACAGAGTTCCAAACTATTTCTCCTTATCTCTGCTATAAAACATGCTCCCTAGTTCTGGGCACACCTGAAAGAAGCGGCACTCTTTTCCACATCCACCTGGTCAAGATCATTCAGCATCTTTTGTTCTTCAATCTTATCACCCCTCACTCAAAGAGTCACAGAGTCACACAGCATGGAAACAGACCCTTCAGCCAACTCGTCCACGCTCACCAGATATCCTACATTAATCTAGTCTCATTTGCCAGCATTTGGCCCATATCCCTCTCAACCCTTCCTATTCATGTACCCATCCAGATGCCTTTTAAATGTTGTAATTGTACCAGCCTCCACTACTTCCTCTGGCAGCTCATTCCACACACGCACCACCCTCCTAATGAAAAAGTTGCCCTTTAGGTCCCTTTTAAATATTTCCCCTCTCACCTTAAACCTATGCCCTCTAGTTTGGACTCCCCTATCCTGGGCAAAAAGATACTGGCCATTCACCTTACCCATGTCCCTTATGATTTTACAAATCTTTATAAGGTCACTCCTCATCCTTCGATGCTGCAGGGAAAATAGCCCCAGCATATTCAGCCTCTTCCTATAGCTCAAACTCTTTCAAATTCTACTGGAAACAAGCCCAGCCTGTCTGGCCACTTGTTACAAAACAACCCACTCAATCCAGGAATCAATCCAGTAAACCTCCTCCAATACTGAAACTGCTCACAGTATTTGAGATGCAGTCTCACCAATGCCCCACATTCCCACTCCTCCTTGCTGTAGCTCCAATGCATGCATAACCTTAGCCCCCAGTCCACTTCACTTCACTCCTGAGCTGAGTTTGGGCAGGGTACATTTCCGTAAGCAACGTGACCATTTGGAAGTTTTGCCAAAAAATGGGCATTCTTCACATCTGTGTTCAGGTAGGAAAGTCTGGCAACTTCTGAGAGTGTCATTGCCACACACCATCATGCCTTCCCTGAGAATTTTCCACATGTGCTCCTTCCTAGCCCTGACAATCAGAAATGGGAATGCTGTCTGAAATCCCAGCATTGGAACCCATCTGAATTGGAATTCCAGCAGTGTTTGATGAGACTGTGACAATGCTATGGCTTTAACATATTTATTTTATCCTTTTTTTTATTTGAAGTGTGGTTTTAAGATAGAGATGCAGAGCTGTCTATGAAAGCCCATAAAGCTTGTGGGGCCTTGGATTTTTTTTAAAGTTGGAATAATAGAAGCAGCCTACATGGGTGGGGCAAGCTCCAACAGAACCAGGATTTTTGTTTTTTTTAGTTTTCAGTAGCAGTTGTTGCTGCCATCTCAGCAGGATTTGAACACTGCAGTACATCTCTCCCTGCTACACTCCCTCTCAGAGTTTTCTCTTGATGTTTTTTGCTCCTGCTGCTGGAGTTGCATGTGAGACAATCTGTTTTCTGAATTTGTCTTTGACAAGGGTGCGTTTATGGGATGTCACTATATTGGAACAGTTACTCTTCAGTAGTTGAACAATCCATTATTCTGTTAAGTTTTCCATGAGTTAATTTATTCCAATTTCTTCTTTCTTTTGTTGTATTTTAACAACAGTGTATGAATAAAGTGTGTTTTGCTTCAAATCCAGGTGTTTGATCAGTCGAATCACATCCGGAACACAACACATGCCTCTAGAATAAGAAAACGTTAGGTTCTAGGCTATCTTCTTAATATATTTTGAGGGGATTTGGTCTGGTCCATATCAGAGCAAAGCCATTGGATATTTCCCCCAGTGTCCAGCTCAAAGCCAGGATAATTATCGAGAGTACTGTAGGAGTTTGCACACTCTGTAGAAAACCTGGCCCAACTGGTAAATACTGCATTGAAATCTCCAAGCCATGCTGAGACACAGGTTAATAGCGACTTGATGACATTCCTTACAGAGAAAGAATGGAGGAGAAGATTCCCTTCAAAAGAGGATGAAGAGGATGAGGATGAGGAGGATGATGAGATGAAACAACTGCGTGAGATTCAGAGGAAGGAGCTGGACAAGGTGGGGGAGGTGCCTGGCTTTGTAATGCATTGTTAGTTTCAGGGTACGAGTCATGGGCCATGTCTGGATACGTTAGTGGAGGTTGTGACTGTTTTCACTGGACTGGACGCTAAAAAAAACTCAATGACTATTTCAAAGAAGAGTGAAGGAATTATTCTCAGTGTTTAGGTCAATATTTGTCTATTAATCAGTACTATAAAAACAGATTATCATGTCAATGTCACACTGCTGATTCTGGGAATATGGTGGACAGAAATTGACTACACTGCAAAAGTACCCCATCAGCTGTAAAGTGCTTTGAGCTGTCCTGCGGTTCTGAAAGATACTATCTAAATGCAAGTCTTTATATACTGTTATGGTTCCAGCTGATGTTACCACTGGACAAGTTAGACCCCAGAATAAAGTCTTGCTTGATAGATCATATGTTTCCTTTTACTTATTTTTGTGGCCATTCATTGAAACATAGGCATACAAGATTTTCTTTAACAATAAAACAGAGGTTTATCACATAAAAGGGAAAAAAGCCATCTATATATAAAACATAGTTCGAAATATGTGAGAACACACAGCAAAACAAATTCTCAGCCATTCCCCCATTACGGTGGAGAAATCAATCAAATCCAGTCAAATTATTCTTTTCTAAAAAATCTTTAGGTTTAACTTATCTGCTTTTCTCTAGTTCTGCCCTGTGAGCTGTGAAATCTTTTCTCACGAATACTCGTGACACAGAAAGCTTAGATTTTCTCAGTCCTTTACAAATCTGCAGATTTCTAACCAAACACTCCTATTCTGAAAGTTTCACAAACTAAACTTTTACACCAACATTGTTGGGCTTTCCCTGAACTGTGGTACAATTCTTTCTAGGAGAGAAACTATTTTTGCTTTTGACCACAGTCTGGTCTCCTCCAAAAGATTTTATTCTCTGAGTTTTCTGAGCTAAAGTCAATCTTGGATATTCTAATTTCAAAGCAAGGTAATGTCTTTCAATGATCACCTCCTCTGTCATAAGTCCCACAATATCAACAATCATCCATTAACACTCCAGGGGTTTGTAGTCACTTGCTGTCTGACACATAGTGGATTCAGTCACTATTCTGGAAAGGACTCTCTGACCTTGTTTTATTTTAAACCCTTCACAAAAGTAATCAATGCCCATATGTCACTAGTTTGAAACCCAAATTCTAAAAATGAAGATCGCACATCTTTATACACAATACCCAAGCATACAGTTATTTATGGACTCATAATATGTATTTAATACATTTCCACTGGAGTTACAATTGCTTGTGTTCTAGATCCAGTCTGGACTAGGAAAGTTGATCTTGAAGGAGGAGTTGGAGAAATCAAAACCGCGAGGGAGGAAATCTCGCTCACTTCCAGATCGAACCACAAGGAGTTTCTGTAAGCATTAGTAACAGACATCTATGTAGTACTGTGGCTTGGGAGGTGCTGTATAACATAGTTTGAAACCCTTTCTGAACTTGGCAGCACTGCAGAGGCCTTTGACTTTCCATCAATTTCAACATTTTTGACAGGATAATACTGGGGCAGGGAATAAACAGGAGAAGAGGAAATGTTGGGAGTTCTGCCAGTATCTGGAAGGAATTGAAAGGGTATACCAGATCAGCAGCACAAACTATTGATTCTATTTCAGTTGGGAAAAGGTTCACTGAAGAACATACTTCCTGCTCATGGTCTGTTGCTGAAAAGAAAGGCTTGTTATCCAAGCTTCTTGTCTGGAATTCATCAGGACAAAGACAAGAATGCCAAATTTCAAACAGTCACTAGCATTTATATTATAGCAGAAAAGGATGCAGTTATGTCAGTAAGTCAATTCTGATTGGCTGAGCTGTTGCCAAGGCGAAAACAACAGAGAAATATAGACTGGCCAACCTCCCTAGGAATTCAAAAAAGGCTCAAACCTATCCCTTTGGTTTGCAGAGAACGGGCCCCTGTATATGAATGGACGTTTAAGAAGTGTAAGTGAGCACGACCCTCACTAACTATCTTACATTGGTTGTGAGTGAAGGTAGAAGCACACACAGGATTGCTCAGGCAGTGCTGCTCGATCACAGAATCACATTAAACAGTAATGTTTGGGTTTTGCAAAGTGTGAGCTGTTTGAGTTTGGTCTATACCACTGCTTGTCACAAATAACTGAAGATGGTTGATACAATTTACACACCCAGCATCAGAGCTGCACTAAAATACATACACAGCCTGCTCAACAGCGTGGCAGGCAGATTATCTATTTCGGACTGATGGCAACATTCTGTTCAGGGAAAATATCACTCGCGTAGCCGCTGAATAGTAGCAGCATGGAATGGCTACTGGTCTTTATATTTAAAAAAAAAAGCTTCCTCTAAAATCTAGCTTGGAACAAGCACAAGTTGTTTGAAATCTGACCAAGTCTGTACTTGTCACGGAACATTACCTTTCAGAACTTCCTGCAGATTAACCAGTGAAGAAACGTTATGCTTGGAATCCTTTTGAACATTCCCCGGTCATGATGTGTTTTGACAGCAGAGGGTGCAGTTTTCAACAGGACAGTGGTAAAGGAGCACAGACAGTGAACTCGTCCACATCTCAGCTGGTGGATGTTTTGAACAAACGTTCTAGGGTAGGGTGCAATTGTGTTCACAAATACCAGAGAGACTGAATTGAGAGGGGTGAATTGATGCGCATTTTCGGAATAAAGAACAGATAGGGTATACAGAAATAAACTACTTCCACTGCTTGAGGAATCTGAGCCTGAGAATCTGTGACGTACAGTGGAACAATTTGAGCCAGATCTTGCAAGATTTAATTTAGGAAATGCAAAGGCTGAGGGGAATTTGAAACTCTTTTATTCTTCCTTCATATTTTGTAGGATGTATGTGTCATTGGCAAGGCCAACAATAGATGCCCATTTCAAATTTATTAATTGAATTTAAATCTTACCAGCTACTGTGGTGGCATTTGAACCCAATCCCAAGAGTATCAGCCTGTGTCTCTGCATTGAGTCCTCTGACATCAGCATAATGGCACCGTCTCCCCGAACAAAAACCAATGTTAAGTCAATTGATAATTTTGAGATTAATAGCATTTTGTTATTCAGAGATATTAAGAGATTTAGAACAAAATGGTTCGCTGGAGTTGGGTCACAGATTAGCCAACATCTCACTGAATGGTCTAATAATCACACTATTCTTACTTCCTACAGCTCCTCAACAGTCAACATGTAAATCACCCTCGCTCCCCATCCATGGGAGGAACAGTCTGTACAGGGTAAGCATTGATTTCCTGTGCTGTAATTCGGAATATTAAATCATGTAGCGACTTCACTTTATAACAGAAACAGGGGACAGTCACACTGGCAGTTCCAACACAAAGCTGAAGTATGTTCAAGGGCAGTTGATTTCTGAGATGACACTGGAAAGGTATCAATATCAGATAGACTCAAGCTACATCAAATCACTGAAACATGCTATATATGGTGCATAGACAGAGAGGCTCATGCCAGTACAGAGAAAGGGAGGGAGGTGGTTCAAATAACTCCACAGAGGACGGTATCCTGTTGCCAAGTCACCCTTTATTTACACATGGAGATTCCTTTCTCAGAGCCCTAGCTCTCAGAGTGAACAGAATCCCTGACACTCCAGTTTATATCTATCAGCCAGGGGTACCTGATTGGTCCAGGTTAACAGCCCCAATCAGGGAACTCCTATTCTATGAGATCCAGCTGGCTGATCTCAGTACAACCATGACAATGGTAGAAAAAGGAAAATATTTAATCAGAGCAGAATGTTGAGCTGTTGGCGGGAATTATGAAATAATAACGTTATCAGACATTCAAGTATTTCACTGACTTCCGAAGAAATGTGAAGTTTTAAGCAAGGGTGGGGGGGGGCACGCATGTTGAGTAACACAAGATGTGTCTTCCCATGTCCACGTGGGAATGGGTTCATTTTGAGGTCAGTGAGGTCAGAGCCAGTATTAAGGCTCCAGGCCCTAGACTATCTATTTCAGGATTGCTGTAAAACATGGAAAGTGCTAGTGCCAGGAATGCTGGTGATACCAGCTGGTGTTGACAAGAGTTATGGTTATTGTCAGTGAGGTCACACATGCAGTGCCAGTCCTGGCGGTGTGAACCTCGCCAAGTTTTCTAAAATCCAGTTGTAAACAGAGTGCGCATCAAACTGCAGAGGGAGAGTTATCTGGACACTTTGATGCAGGAGGCAGACATAGCCCTTGGGTGAGGAAGTAGTACTGGTCTGGTGAGTGGTCAGGGGCAGGAGGGTGTGACTCAGAATATATACCAGCAATGTCTGAATGCTGGAGCAGACTCAGTGGGCTGATTAGCTTAATTCTGCTCTTCTATTTTATGGAGAGTCCGACAGTTAAGGGGAACCTGTGGTACATGGTTGGAGGAACTGCGGGGTTTTTGTCCTCATCCAACAGGTACAAAGTACTTGCTGCCTGCTTGGACAAGACCAAAGACAAGATGGATAAGCAAACTGATCTATTCAACTGAGGCATCAGGTTTAAGGACATCTGCTAACACTGGTAAAGAACTTGAGGAGGATCCAGTGATCAAAATCCACGATGGAACCAAGACAGTCATAGAGTCACAGAGATGCACAGCACGGAAACAGACCCTTCAGTCCAACTTGTCCATGCTGACCAGTTCTATTTGCCAGCATTTGGCCCATATTCTTCTAAACCCTTCCTATTCATGTACCCATGCAGATGTCTTTTAAATGTTGTAATTGTACCGCCTCCATCACTTTATCTGGCAGCTCGTTCCATACATGCATCACCTGCTGCTTGAAAAAGTTGCCCTTCCGGTCCCTTTTAAATCTTTCCCCTCTCACATTAAACCTATGTCCTCTCATTTTGGACTCCCCTACCTGGGGAAAAGACCTTGGCTATTCACCCTATTCAAGCCCCTTATGATTATTTAAACCTCTATAAGATCACCCCTCAGCCTCCGACACTACAGGGAAAATAGCCCCAGCCTATTCAGCCTCTCCCTATAGCTCAAACCCTCCAATCCTGGCAACGTCCTTGTAAATCTTTTCTGAACCCTTTCAAGTTTAACAACATCTTTCTTATAGCAGGGAGACCAGAACTGAATGCAGTATTCCAGAAGTGGCCTATCCAATGTCCTGTACAACCACAACATGACACCCAACTCCTACAGTCAATGCACTGACCAATAAAGGCAAACGTACCAAACACCTTCTTCAGTATCCTGTCTCCTGTGAGTCCACCTTCAAGGAACCATGAACCTACATCCCAAAGTCTCTTTGTTCTGAGATGTGAGGTTCTGTGTACTCAGTTGCATGGATTTAGCAGAGGTTTTGTAGATCTGTAACCGCCTCCCCCCACCCCCCGATATTCCTGGATAAAACAGTTAACCAGTCGGGAACAGTGCTGGGGAGGAAGAAGGTGAGCAAAGAATTGGCAAACAGCTCCTGATCAGACAAAGTCCTTCCTTGTCCCTTGTTGCCATGTTTTAATGCCTGCAGTCAAATGAAGAATAATTGCAGGGCTCAGCATGGAAATTTCAGAATGCAGAAGCTGATCCCTCCAAAGCGCTGAACAATTTGAGCTTATTTCGGAAGACAGGGAAATGAGGGAGATTGAAAATTTGTTGACAATGGTGTACTGTAATTGAAATGTTTCTTTGCTCCTTAGCTGCAGTCTGCAGATTTTGTTACACCTCAGAGACCGGAGAGAAAGAGCGATGCTGCAGGTGAGCTGGTGTGTCGCGACTGGAATCAGAACGGGACATTGTCCACCGTGTCACAACACAGCTGATACAGCAGAGTTCAGCCAAAGAGTCAGAGAATAGCCTGCAAGGGAGGTCTAGCTTCCCAGACACGCTGATCAAAGCAAACGCGTCAATAGCTCGGTATGCTAACACTGATCAGAGCAATGACAGGCTAAGTCAATCCTGAGCCTCGAACACTATGGCGCTCCCTCAGTACTGACCTTCCGACAGTGCAGCACGCCCTCAGTACTGACCCTCCGACAGTGCGGCGCTCCCTCAGTACTGACCCTCCGACAGTGCGGCACTCCCTCAGCACTGACCCTCTGATAGTGCGGCCCTCCCTCAGCACTGACCCTCTGATAGTGCGGCCCTCCCTCAGCACTGACCCTCTGATAGTGCAGCGCTCCCTCAGCAGTGACCCTTTGACAGTGCGGCCCTCCCTCAGCACTGACCCTCTGACAGTGCGGCCCTCCCTCAGCACTGACCCTCTGACAGTGCGGCCCTTCCTCAGCAGTGACCCTTTGACAGTGCGGCCCTCCCTCAGCAGTGACCCTTTGTCAGTGCGGCCCTCCCTCAGCAGTGACCCTTTGACAGTGCGGCCGTCCCTCAGCAGTGACCCTCTGACAGTGCGGCACTCCCTCAGGACTGACCCTCTGATAGTGCAGCGCTCCCTCAGCACTAACCCTCCGACAGTGCGGCGCTCCCTCAGTACTGACTCTCCCACAGTGCAGCACTCTCTCAGTACTGACCCTCCATCAGTGCGGCACTCTCTCAGCACTGACCCTCCATCAGTGTGGCACTCTCTCAGTACTGACCCTCCGACAATGCAGCACTCCCTCAGCACTGATCCTCCAACAATGCAGCACTCCCTCAGCACTGACCCTCCGACAGGGCAGTGCTCCCTCAGTACTGACCCTCCGACAATGCAGCATTCCCTCAGCACTGACCCTCCGACAGTGCGGCGCTCCCTCAGCATTGAACTTCCGACAGTGCAACATTCCTTCAGACTGTCAGCCTGAATTTTATGCTCAAAGCTCTAGGTTGGGGTTTCAAACCCACCACCTTCTGATTCAAGATTTTCTTCCACTGAGTGACAGATCCTTAATCTGGTAATAATCCTGGAGGACATTCCGCCATCCATCAATGGCTCTCTAAAATATTCTGGCATCCCTCTTATTCTGGTTAACAATAATCCCCACAGAAACCTGGCAGTTTGTCAGTGGAGATGGTTGAGGATAATGCTAAAAGTTGTCTTTTATCAATGTTAACCTTTGTTCTAATCTCTCTGCATCATAAATTATTCCCTGTGCAGAGAACCAGTGAACAACTGGTCTCTCCCAGTGAAAATGACATTCCAGCAAACGGGAATTTTCCAATGGTGTTGGAAAGTTGTCCATGTTTGGTGAATGCTGAATATTGTTTCATCCCTGCCCTGGTGGTAAGGCTAAGATGCACTTGGGGGAACAAATGCAAAATATACTTTTTTGACGTGGTCGAATGTTTTACCTCATTAAAGTAATCATTTTGACCACTTTTCAAATATCTCAGATAACCAGGCACTGTGGAGTACTGGTTGAGAAAGTCCCAGAATGTGTTCTGCACATGAGGACAAAATATCAGCTGATTAAATTGTGCCTCATAGAATGGTAGTATCTTCGACAATGGCAGCGTCTTCAATTTTACAAAAGCTTCATCCCACCGAAAAACACACAACTGCTCTACGCATCACACTCTTTTACCTTTCTCAAAAGCTCCAGTTCCATTCTCCCTCCATGTGGAATTGTGAGGAACGCTCTTGCGTGCAGCAAAGAAACTATGTTTTTAAAAGATTAGAATGTTTGTTCAGATCTGGGGGAGAGAGGGCCAGACTGTTTGAACTCTGCAATTTTCTCATTACGTCTTCCTCTTGTCTCTGCAGATATCCAGGTGAGTGCTCAATATGCCTTTGTGAATGTGCGTTCCACACAAGAGGTGAGAATTCCTATCTGATAGCCAAATGCTAGAAACAAAGGATTTTGAGCTATATGGGAAGCAGTTCGTGCTGTTGATGTGAGCTGTTCACACTACAGATGCTGTAGCCTGTTAAACAGTCTATTTCCTGTGTTCAATGTCCTGTCATAGGGTTAAACAAGGATTGAAAGCCAAACTGAAACCCAAGAGAGAAGAACACTAGGAATCAAATGCTACCAGTTGGAAATACATTCTTTGAGAATTATTCCACCAGAGTAATTCCCCCAGAATTTGATCTACAGACTGCTGTTCATTTGGTTTTACCATTTAACGCACAACGTGACTCATCTCACCACACTGTGTTGAGATGTCTATTTAATTCCCACTTACATCTACCAGTGGCATGTTGGATTGACAGTGTGTACCATTTGTAAATGCTGACCGTATGGATACAGTCACAACACTTTCAGCAATGTGCTTATTTTAAAGTGTCTGCTTTCATTAGGACACACAGTCAGTGTGTGACAGAATGGTGTATCCATCATCCCAATAGTGGGCCATTTAACTTTCCACCTTTCAGAACATCAAAAGCACTGGTTCATTCGGATAGACTGTCCTTGTCTGAGATCAGTCTAAGGCTTGATGTGCAGAGTGGTTGAGGAAAATAAGTTTTGAAACTTTAGCCCATCAACGGTTCCCAGCTCCAAATGTCTTGTCCCTGAAATTTCATGGGAAATTCCCCCAGTTGGTGGAAATTGCACGAAACGGCACAAACTGTTTCCGCCAATAAAAGTGGTTGTACTGCTGTTACGCACATTAATAGTCTTTGATATTTTAAACAAAGTAAAATTTGTAAAATTTGATACAATCACCCCTGTGCGCATAGATTTACACTGACTCCCGGTCAACCTTTGTTGACCTTTCAAATCCCTATGTGGCGTCCTCCCACTCTCTACTTCTGTTATCTCCCCCAGCCCCACAATCCTTCAAAATCTCTACTTACCTATGATTCTGGCCTCTTGAGCGTCCCTGATTTCAATTGCTCTGCCATTGGTAGTCAGGCCTTCAGCTGCCTGGGCCATAAGATCTGTTATTATCTCCCTACACCTCTCTGTCTCTCTAGCTCTTGCTTCTCCTTTAAGATACCACTTAACGCTTAGTTCTTTGACCTATCTGTCATCATTGGCCCTAATATCTCCTGATATGGCTACAATACTCCTGTGAAACACTTGGGATGTTTCATTCCATCAAAGGTACTGGAAAAATATTAGCTGTTGTTTTTATGACACAGTATCGGTAAGAATTTACAGATGGATCTAGTAGCTGAGAGACGTTTTGTCTTCACTGGCCAGTTATGTGAATTACTTCATTTGAAAGTGAATCATATACATCAGTCATTTCCAGCTTCTGCCAACACTGTCTGACTCCATCAGTGGAGCAGTATGAAACTCCCATTGCAAGTAAGAGACACTTTTACAGACATGATAGGGATGAGAGGTGGTTAGAACATGAGAACTAGAATAGTGTTGAATGAAAGGGCAAGCAAAGCAAGAATGTAACTTGGAATGAAAACTGGGAAAGGGAAGTGAGTGGCAAAAGGTTCAGATGTTCATGGAAAACTGACTTAAACTGAAATCACATCCATATACTTGAGCTGACTGTAGAGCTAATCCCAGGGCTGAGTTTTGGTTTGAGGATGTGGCTATTCCAATGGTGATCTTGTTGAAACTCTTGGAACCTAGCTTCCCCTCTTGCTGCCGTACCAAACTCCATGATCTTCGCTTTGTCTAACTGAATATAGCTGTGTGCATGTCCAGTCCAGCCTCTTGCTCTGCATATGGTGTGGTCCAAACCGTATCCCTCAGGCATCATCTCCCCATTTAATCAGGAGGTCACTGAGACAGCCTATCCCATATTGGCTCCTTTCAGGTCTGAGATAGACACATTAAGGACATTAATCAATATAGAATGGGCTCATCACTTGCTCAAGGTTTCACTGGCCACTCATCTTTGAATCAGACCATTGTCCCTCAGTACACACCAGCTGAGTCCATCCCCACATTTTCTGTGACGCAGCTAAGTTCTCTTCAGATGTATTATCCTGGTCAAAACCCTCTCTTCCCTTTGGTCTCTCTGGCTTTCTTCTTCAGCTGTTACTGTGACTTTGATTTTTCTTAATCTCCACAAACATATATGCAACTTGACAAATGTGAACGCTGCCTTCTCTCTCAGCTTAGCACTGGCTGCTTCACTTAGCTTTGCAATCTGAGACTAAATTTTATTGAGAAAAATTGTCTCAGTACGTACCTACAGAAACAGAGGAGAACAATGATCTGCTTTGATCTTATTGGCAAACTTAAAAGCCAAAGAGACAAAAATGCATACAAAGACTTCTTCTGTCAAACTGAATCATATACAATGCCTACACTATGGAAGCAGGCCATTTGGCTCCTCAAATCCACACCAACCCTCCAAAGAGCATGAAGTCCTGCATTTCCCATGGTTAATCTACCTAGCCTGCATACCCCTGGACACTATGGGCAATTTATCATGGCCAATCCACCTAACCTGCAGATCTTCGGACGGTGAGAGGAAACCTGAGCACCCAGAGGAAACACACAGGCAGGACGTGCAAACTCCACACAGAGAGTCACCCAAGGCTGCAATCGAACCCAGATTCCTAGTGCTGTGAGGTTGCTGAGCTAACCACTGCACCACCTGAAGGTTCATCTGGTTTACAATTTACCAGCCTGGTAGCCACAGGATACAACACTAATGACGAATCTTAGCAATCTATCTCTGTCCATTTGTCTATCAATGACACAGCCCTCGGGGTGGAAAAAGCCCAGCGGTGCAGAGCTCTGGGAATCATTCAATCAAAGTCCCCTATCCCTCCGAAAGACCCTATACTGACTACATACCATGTGTAAAATGTGCAGTGCATTATGTTCAGTGACCCTTTAACTCAATGTCCATTCCCATCAGCGCTCAGGTTTTCCTTCCCTCCGCTTGTCTCCTTCTCAGCGTTGCAGTTTTTATTCTTAATGGGGTGAGATTTTGGATGCGTTTGCCTCTAAGTGAAATAATGGAACAGTAACCCACAATGTGGATGTGTGCTGCCTCTACTTTTTGCAGAATGGTGACACACAGTCAGGGAGGATGGACAGAGGAACATCTTTGCCAGCCATGTTGGAGCAAAAGGTCAGCATTTAATTTTGCTTCTTGTTCATTCAAGGAAATGGGTATCAAAGGCGAGGCCAGCATTCATTGGCACCCCAACTGCCCTTCAGAGAGTTTTGATACAAATATGCACTTTGCCCAGCCATTTCAGAGGGCAGTTCAGAAACAGCAACACTGAATTTATTTGACTGGAGTCACAGAGATGTGTAGCATGGAAACAGACCCATCAGTCCAACTCATCCATGCTGACCAGATATCTTACATTAATCCAGTCCCATTTGCCAGCATTTGGCCCATTTCCCTCTAAACCCTCGATAACAAGGTGTACAGCTGGATGAACACAGCAGCATCAGAGGAGCAGGAAAGCTGACGTTTCGGGTCTAGCTTTAGCTGAAGAAGGGTCTAGACCCGAAATGTCAGCTTTCCTGCTCGTCTGATGCTGCTTGGCCTGCTGTGTTCATCCAGCTCTACACCTTGTTATATCAGATTCTCCAGCATCTGCAGTTCCTACTATCTCCCTCTAAACCCTTCCTATTCATGCACTTTTTAAATGTTGTCATTGTACCAGCCTCTACCACTTCCTCTGGCAGCTCGTTCCATGCACACACCACCCTCTCCATGAAAAAGTTGTCCCTCAGGTCCCTTTTAAATCTTTCCCCTGTCACCTTAAACCTATGTCCTCTAGTTTTGCGCTTCTCTACCCTGGGGACAAGACCTTAACTATTCAACCTATCCATGCCCCTCATGATTTTACAAACCTCTATAAGGTCATACCTCAGCCTCCAACGCTCCAGGGAAAATAGCCCCAGCCTATTCAGCCTCTCCCTATAGCTTAAACCAACCAACTCTGACAACATCCTTGTATATCTTTTCAAGTTTCACAACATCTTTCCTACAGCAGAGTGACCAGAATTGAACGCAGTATTCCAAAAGTGGTCGAACCAATGAATAATTGAACATAAAGTCCCAGCTACAATGTTGGAATTTGCAGCATGGTTGCTGACCCTATTCACTACTATTTTACATGTGTTGCTTTGACACCACTTCGTTCCCATCCCTGGATTCAGGATTTCTACAAATCCCTGCTTTCTTGCCCAGTCAGTAGCAGTCCGGGATTGTCTTGGGCTGGGGAAGGCGAAATCTGGCACAATTCCCATTTCTGATCACTGCACAGGATCCTCGCTGGAGGAACAGCACAATGTGGGACACAGCGCAATGAATAACTTTTTTCCAACTTGTCTCTCTCGCAGGTTTACCCATATGAAATGCTGAAAGGAAGCAGAAGTATCAACCTGCCTCAGGGAGTGGACAGGCCCCGGCTGGAGGTAAGGATGGGAAGAACTTGCCTCTTCAGAAACAAGAGAAAGAGTACAAAGCCCATAGGTTCTAAGAGACAGAAAGTAGCAATAAACAGTTCTTGTCAGTAGGAGGAACATGTATAAGGGACTCTTGTGATACAGTGGTACTTCCCCTACCTTTGAACCAGGAGACCTGGGTTCAAGTCCCAACTGCTCCAGAGATGTATCATAGCATGATTTGGGAGTTGGGACATCATGTTAACATTGTATAGGATGTTGGTGAGGCCTCTTCTGGACTACTGTGTCCAGTTCTGGTCGCCCTGTCATAGGAAAGATATTATTAAGCTAGAGAGAGCTCAGAAGAGATTTATCAGGATGTTGCCGGGAATGGAAAGTTTGGGTTATGTAGAAAGGCTGGGACTTTTTTCCACTGGACTGTAGGAGGTTGAGAGGTGACTTTACAGAGGTTTATGAAATCATGAGGGGTATAGATATGGTTAATGATAGATGTCTTTTCCCTAGGATGGGAGATTTCAAGACTATATTTTTAAGGTGTGGGATTTAAAAAAGACATGAGGAGAAATTTTTTTACACAGAGAGCGGTTCACGTGTAGAATGAACATCCAGAGGAAGTGTTGGATGTGGGCATAGTTACAACGTTTATAAGACACTTAGATGAATAGGAAAGGTTTGGAGGGATACGGGCCGAAGGGTCTGTTTCCATGCTGTATGGCTCTATGTATAAACAGTTTGATTGAAAATATCTGCAAGGTTCAGTATTAGAATGGCTTCTCTTCATCTGTATTGGTTAGCTGGACTTTGAGCAAGAATGCAGATATCATCCAACTTAGAAAAGTAATGAGCAGTAAGGAAAGTAATAACAGACTTCAGATAGCGGGTAACATCGAATGTAGAGCAGTATGAAATGATAGCCATTTTGTTTGAAGGGGGAGCAGAGGAAACAAAAGCTAACTTGGTCCAATTGTAAACAGGGTTCTGGGAAGGAGAGGACAAGGAGTGGGTGTCGGTGGGTGAATGTTTGCAAAACTTCATGTCAGTGGGACAAGATGAGGAAGTGACTAAAAAAATGCACCTATGGATCCTTGGGGTATGATTCAGGGAGGGAACAATTTGGGGGATGCAAACAGAAATTGCTGGAGGAACTCAGCAAGTTGGCCAGCAGCCATGGAGAATCATAGAATCCCTACAGTGTGGAAACAGGCCCTTCGGCCCAACAAGTCCACACCGACCCTTGCAGCATCCCACCCAGACCCATCCCCGCTATAACCCGCACACCCCGAACACTACGGGCAATTTAGCATGGCCAATCCATCTAGCCTGCACATCTTTGGACTGTGGGAGGAAACCGGATCACCCGGAGGAAACCCACGCAGACATGGGGAGAACATGCAAACTCCGCGCAGACAGTCACTCGAGGGTGGAATTGAACCTGGGTCCCTGGCGCCGTGAGGCTGCAGTGCTAACCACTGAGCCACCGTGCCGCCTGAAGAGAGAAACAGGGTTAATGTTTCGAGTTTGGTGACTCCTCAAGGATTTGAGGGGCAAGATTCAAAGAGGGGGTCGATTCAGGGAGGAGACAATCAGAGGGCACAATTCAGGAAAGGGATGATTCAGGGAGTGGGGATCATTCAGGATGGGGTGGGGCCGATTCATTGGGGAGTGATCAATTTGAGGTGGAACTTGTCTATTCAATGGGGGCAAATTAGAGATTGGGGAGCAATTCAGGGAGAGGGATCAGGAGAGGGGGTGGGATTCAAGACGGGACTATTTATAGAGATGGGGGTGATTCAAGAAGGGTCTATTCATGAGGTGGGTGTGATTTACAGCGGGTATATTTAAAAATGGGGGTGATTTAAAGAGGGTCTATTTGAAGAGGAGGGGTGTGTCATTTAGGGAGGGTCTATTTAAAGAGGAAGGGTGTGTGATTCAGGAAGGGACTATTCACACAGCAGAGGGTAATTTAGGGAGGGTCGATTCGCAAAGGAGGTTTGGTTTGGATGGTACCAATCAGCACGTGCGGTGACTTGGTTCGTGGATGTCAATTTGAGTTGGCGGGGGAAATTCATGGAGGCGCCATTTCATTGTGGTTTATTGGAAGCTTTTCAGTTGCTGGAAGTCCCTCAGGAGTAACAGATCCGGCTTCAAGTTCAACCATTGACCATTCTTAAAAGAAAGAAAGAGTGGGAGGGCACTTTCCAAGAAAGAAATCCTGAGAGCAGAAAGCATGATGATAAAATCTCTTGCACCAAGACTGGGGTAGATTTAATTTGTCTTGAACCTTTAACCTGCGCAGCACAAATTAAAATATTCACCTTCTCTCTAACAGAGACATCTGTCCCCTGAGGAGTTCCAGGAGGTTTTCGGAATGACAATTATGGAGTTTGATAAGCTTCCCCAGTGGAAGAGGACTGAACTGAAGAAGAAGGCTCGCCTCTTTTAATCTGCAGCAATGTTGGGACGGAGAATCCTTTTGACAGATTCCCCATATGTTGGCTGGTTTGCTGTGTGCTGGATGGTTGTTGCTTCTACAGTGTATCACTCACATGACTCAACTTTAAAACATTTTGCTTTCTGTGCGTTTTTTTTTGCTCTTCTATTTTATGAGATCTACCCTCAAATATCCTGGGGTGGAAACTCCGATGATCTCACCATGGTATTTTGGTTTGGTTTGGATTGGCTGTGCTGAATGCTACCTCCTGACCACAAGCCAAAAGTGAACTGCTACCGTGACAAGCTTACAGATGTCTCCATGTATGTCTAATTGGTAATTTATGTCTGACTTACAGAGCAGTTTGATGTGTGATCAGCCCTGAACGTAAGTGTCTGCAACGTACCATAGTTGTCACCGTTGTGTTCCTGGTGGGACAGGCTTTTGAAGGGCTGAATGGCCTGTACCTTAGTAGTACTGATGCTTAACGTACAACCACTTGTTGTCTTCAGATACCTCGCTCAGCTCTGTGCCAGGAACAAACCAGAGCCTGTTTGCCTTCTGTACCAAATCACTCAAGAACTTAAAACAGGAAACCAAAATTTCTTCTTCAGATGTCAGATGGGAAAATCTGGAAATTCGGAGTCCAATGCTTTAACGTTTTGTGCATCTCGCATCTTTGACAGATCCACTCCTGACATCTAACGACTTATGCAAAGGACCAAAGAGTGTACGATCTGTATATGGGAGAAGGAGGCATGAATTCCTCCAAATATCAAAAGCAATCTATATTTTAAAAAAGTATCTATTTATTCTCTCTGCTGCTATTACTCTTAGTCCTGGGGTACAGTGAAACATGGTCAGCTGTAAGTCTGTGACTGTGTGGCTCATGCACACACCTCTGCTTCTCCTGTGCTGTTGAAGTCACAGGGACGAATGGTTTCTGATAATATTGCTTACCCCTAGCTTTGAGTGTCACCCGTCACCCTGACATGCGATATTATGGTCTGAGCTGCTTCTGGAGTCCACAAAGATGGTGTACAGTTTGACTTCTTTGCCAAATCAAAGGAGAAGGTGTGTATAATGTCTCCCAGAACAGGCTCTCGTTTCTCTGCTTCAGCTCAAAACAGTGACAAGTCCTTCAGGGTTTTGGTGAACGAGCTCTCGAGCTGCCTTCAGATAGTTGGGCCCACATATTTATCAATGTTCAGTACAAACCACAAAACGAATAAGGTCCATCCACCCCTGAACTGCTTTGTAATCACCCCCTGAGCATCTGTTATATATCTTGTGTTTAAAATAAATACAGTTCTGTTTCATAACTTAATGCCTTTCCTCAATAAAATGTCCATGGGCCAGAGGATTGTCTGGTTTGCAATCGGACAATGTGCCTCATAAATTGGAGGTACTGATAAACAGGACTGTCCTGACATTACAAGTCCCTGTTACACTGGGGGGATCTCAATCCCAGTTCGTGTTGTGAGAACTGGGATGTAATGGAGGATGGGGTCTGTAAAATTAGAACCCTACTGTGTGAAAGAAGGCCATTCGGCCCATTGAGTCCACACCGATCCTCCAAAGAGCATCCTACCCAATGCCTGTAACCATGCATTTCCCATGGCTAACCCACCTACCCTGAACATCCCTGTACACTGTGGGCAATTGAGCACGGCCAATCCATCCTAACCTGCACATCTTCGGACTGTGGGAGGAAACCGGAGCACCTGGAGGAAACTCACGCAGACACAGGGGAGAATATGAAAACTCCACAGAGACAGTCGCTCGAGGGTCGAATCGAACCCAGGTCCCTGGTGCTGTGAGGCATAGTGCTAACCACTGTGCCACGACAATAACAAAGTTCACAAAGGGTTGTTTTAAAATGAGAAATTAGGTGGGCAGCAATTAAACAAGAGCACTGAGGAATAAGCACTTTTTTTCCCTATGAAAATATATTATCTTGGCTTTCACGAATCAGAATTTTGCTTTGCTTTCGCTCCTGGTATTTGATGCAAGAAATACCACAAGGTACTCTGTAAAAATGTTTTGCTGTAAACCTACTCCACAGCAAGCTGCAGCATCGACGGCTCACGGGGCACCAGCAGTGCAGTTATGGTTAAAGCGAAAGGGTTTGTGGAGTTCTGTGAATTGTCTGTTGCACAATGGTCTCAGTACCCACAGGCTGCTGTAGTAACTTTACAACACTGGGCAGTAATTGAATAAACCTGTAACATGGCCTTCTCAATAGAATGTCTGTCCTTGTTACACATGTGGTATCAATTTATACAGCACGGAAACTCTCAAACAAGATTACAAAGTGTTGGAAATAATCAGTAGCAAGGCGAATGTTCGGAGTGGAGTTTGATAATGGTTTTCCAGGAATAGTTTCTTTCTTTCTCTCATTTGCTCATTCTTTCTAACTTCTTGTCTCTGTCATGATCCCTCTCTTTCTCCCTGTCCCTCATTTGGTCACAGTTCCCACCTTTCTCTCTCCATCTCCCCCTCTCTCTCATCATCATATTCCACAGTCAGGTAGCCATTCGGCCCGTTATATCCATGCTGACTCTCTGTAAAGCAATCCAGTCAGTCACATTCCCTCACTCTCTCTCTTTCCCCCTGGCCTTGCAAGTCTATTTCCCTCAATCCAGTTTCCTTTTTGATATCATTCGACATCTCTGCCCTTATTGGCAGAAAGTTGCAGCTCATTGCCATTTGCTGGGGAAAACCGATCTTTCTCATATTCCTCCTGTATATTTTGCTTTCTTTCTGTCCCTGTCTCTCTCTCTCTCTCTCTGTCACAACTGCTGACATCTGCTGCAGGCTTTTGGGACTGTAGAATTTGTATTTTTTTTGTATGTTTGACGAGGAATATTAGCCAATTATAAAAGCATGAATCGCAGGCACTGGGAGTAGGGTGGCATGCCATGGATCAAGTAGTAGCAGCACTATGGGGTCTCTGATGAAAGGATGCATGCTTAAGAGCATCAGGTGAGATAGGGGGCAGGGGCATGGGGGTTAGCAGAGAGGGGTAGGGTTAGAGGGCAAACAATTGTGATTCCACCCCCTCCAACCAATGTTTACCTCTAATGGTTATTGTCCTGCCTCTAGTTTGAAAATATCCCACTATTTACATTTAATTGAATGGTTGCAAAGTTTGAATGTTGTCCCATGTGTCTGTACTGTACATGGACAGAATCATAGGGGAAGGAGGAGGAACAAATCAAGGCTTTTAGAAACACTTAACTGATGTGGTTTGCAGAAACTGAATCAGCAAAGTGCAGGATGTACTTTTGCCTCAACACAACTTGTGTTTTTCTGAAGAAGGGTCCCGACCCGAAACGTCAGCTTTCCTGCTCCTCTGATGCTGCCTGGCCTGCTGTGTTCCTCCAGCTCCACACTGTGTTATCTGTGTTTATATTGCGCCTTTCAGGTGGCAAGATGTCTCAAGGCACTTCACAGGGCAGTGACCAAGAATAGTTTGGCACTGAGTCGCAAAAGGAGGTGCTAGAGTCACAATGTTGGGCAGAGGGATAGTATTAAGGAGCACCTTAAAGGAGGGGGGGGAGAGGGAGAGAGAGCTTAGTGCCTGGGCAGATATTGGGCTGCATTGAAAACCCAGATTGCTTGAGAGGCCAGAATTGGAGTGTGTGTGTGTGTGTGTGTGTGTGTGTGTGTGTGTGTGTGTACATCAGGGAGGGGTGAGGCCCACAAACGAGGTGAGGGACTGAAAACCAGCCACAAAGATTTGCCAAGTCCATGTGCCGAGAGCCGTTGTAGATCAGCAAGCACATGGGGTTGTGACAGCCAAAGCAACCTCGATATTCTATCATCCTTGAACATACAGTAAGCGGATGTTTCACATTGGGATTCAGGCCTGAAGCACACCTAACACGGATGAAGCTGCAACATTAAATTCTAGGAATTGAGGCTCAGTCAGGTGATCAGATTACAGTCTTTAAGCGTAGCGGAGTCTGCTTTAAGCTTCTCTTTGAAGTGTTTAATTTCCACTTTATTGGCTCCATGGCTTCAACTTTTTAACAAGTATTTATTAAATGAAGTCTACAGCCGATTTGGATTTGACATAAAGGGCGCATTATTGTTTTTTGCTACTTCAAAGGAAGTGTTCAGAAACTTCTTTTGCTTTATCCCTCACATCCCCATGTGAAACACCAGTTCTCAAGCAGCAGTGGCTGCTTCACTTAGAAGCTTTTCTCATGCCAATCACTGAACCAAGAATCTAATGCCATACATTTAATAAACCTGCAAAGCAAAGCTGTCAGCTTCGACCTACAATGCCTTGCAGTCGAAAGACAATTATAGGAAGAGAGAACACGGGGCAGTTGGATTAGTTGGGAAATGGTGCAGGATTATCAGAAAACACCATTAGTTTGGTATTGGTACGGAACTATAGGGAGGGAGCAGAGCAGTGGGATTAGTTTGGGATTGATGCAGATTGAGAAAGAATGGAACAGTGGGATTTGTTTGGGACTGACTGAGAGTTATGGGGAGAAGAAAGGGCACCATTAGTTTGGGATTGTTATAATTAAAAGGGCCTTGGGTAGTCATACAGCACGGAAACAGATCCATCGGTCCAATCAGTCCATGCCAACCATAATCCCATCTGCCTGTTCCTGGTCCATATCCCTCCAAAGCTTTCCTACCCATATACTTATCCAAATATCTTCTAAACATTGTAATTGTATCCGCATCCTCCACTCCCTCAGGAAGTTCATTCCACATGTGAACCAGCAGAACAGAAAGACCCAGGGGTACAGGTATATAATTCTTTGAAGTTTGCGTCACATGTAGACATGGTGGTTAAAAAGGTGTTTAGCACGCTTATCTTCATCGCTCAGACCTTTGAATGCAGCAGTTGTGACGTCATGTTGAGGTTGTACAAGATGTTGGTGAGGTCTCTTCTGCAGCACTGTGTCCAGTTCTTGTCTCCCTGTTACAGGAAGGATATTATTAAGCTGGAGGGGGTTCAGAAGAGATTTACCAGGATGTTGCTGGGAATGGAGGGTTTGAGTTACAAGGAGAGGCTGGATAGGATGGGACTTTTTTCCCCAGAGGAGAGGAGGGGGTGACATTATAGAGGTTCATAAAATCAAGAGTTGTATAGCTAAGGTGAATGGCA